GATGACTCACTCTGAATTTATTGGTTCATTTTACAGCAACTTCAAGTCGCTGAGATTAAAACATTCAAATAGTTTGATTTAAACCTGCAAAATCTTAATGTTGGTAAAGATGATCTGCACCCAGGCTTCATCGTTAGTGCNTGTGTGTGTGTGTGTGTGTGTGTGTGTTCAGGGTGTGTTTGACCACCGTATGAAGACGTGGCAGAAGTGGCAGGACAGTCAGATGCTGCTGCAGAAGAAACGAGAAGCTGAAGCCAAACTGCAGTTCACCAACAAACCGGACAAACTGCAGCAGGCGAAGGACGAGATCAAAGAGGTGAGGGGAGGGGGAGGGGGAGCGGGGGGGGGGGGTCAGGAGGACAGTTAGAATAATTTAAAATAATTTTTATTAATTAAATTTTTTTTAAAAACATCAGCAGTAATAAAATATTTTAATGTCACGTTCACTGAACACAGGAGATTTAATGTTTGTCAGATAAACAACAACAACAGTGACGAGCGCAGGTGATGACATCATGATGACTCACTCTGAATTTATTGGTTCATTTTACAGCAACTTCAAGTCGCTGAGATTAAAACATTCAAATAGTTTGATTTAAACCTGCAAAATCTTAATGTTGGTAAAGATGATCTGCACCCAGGCTTCATCGTTAGTGCTAATTAAAACATGTAACACACACACACACACACACACACACACACACACACAGACAAACTCTGAAAACATGTCGACACTTATTAACTAACATATTGTGATGTCAGAGGTTTCCTCCTGGACCTGATTCTAATTAGTTAATTATTTATTTATGAATTATTGATCATATTGTGAGAGTGATAATTATATTAATTCATGTTTGCACACAGTCTCATCTTAATCACGTTGAGCGTTGCTCTCAGGAGCCGACTCCCCCCGTCCGAAGCTGCTGGTGCGTCCAGTCAGATGAAACGAGCGCACCTTCACACTTCAGCCTTTCTTTTGTTGTTGTGGGTAAATGTTGTTTCTCTCAGACTTCACATGAACGACAAACAAGAGCCGGAGAGAAAAGTACTTTATTAGAGCGTCACCACACGAATTCATCCTCCGCTGTCTGTCAGCATCACACACACACACACACACACACACACACACACACAGGCAGAGTCGGCGTGGTCGGGGGTCTGTGTATTAGAGCGGAGGAGCTGGAGGATGTGGGGTTTTGGGAGGAGAGCGGGGGAGGCGTGGGGGGAGGCGGGGGAGGCTGTCAGAAGCTGCAGACGAGGACAGATCGCAGTAGAGTTACAACCAACATTTATTTGGGGCCGACGAGAGTTTTGCTGCCTGTCAGGAGTCGGGTTTTGGTTCACGCCTTGACAACAGCCGACAGAAAACACACAGCGCCTTTTTCTGAAGTCAAAAAAAGAGAAAAGAGTTTTTTGCTTCACGCTGCTGCTGCTGCTGGAAACCTGCTGCAGCTGCTGCAGATGTGAGATTAATGCCCGAGATAAAACCTCTTCACACCAGTGGACTGTGACATTTACATTTACAGTCCACAGCCTGAAGAGTTGAACCTTTTAAAGTCCAGATGAAGAAGAAAAGCTCAGCGGCAGAGGAAGTGAAATGTGTGAACATGCTCCTCCTGTGAAGCAGCAGAAACTCTGCGGTCGTCTTCCTTCCTGCTGCTTCGCTGCTGTTTGCGTCCTGTAGTTTTCTTCTTCTCTGGACGGATCTGTCGTCCTGCCGCACACAAATACCAGGAATAAAGAGCAAAGTTTGGAGAGAGTTTCACACCAGGCTCCTGGACCGAGGTGATGAAATGATCCGTCCAGCAGAGAATAAACTCACGTCACTCTCAGATTCTGCCTCAGCTCTGGTTCACAGACTGTTTGTCCATCCAGGTCGAGAGTGGAGCAACCACCAACCACCCTGACATTCTTACCCTAACCAACAAAGGCGACAAGTTCTAGCCAATCAGAGGCAGAGTAGGGCGGGAGGCTCTGAGCCTCTCTTCTGATTGGCCGACTGTTTTCTGAGTGATCCAATAAAAATAAAGCAGATTTCAGGTAAAAACACTCAGAGAAACCAAATCCTGCAAGGTTTGGATGGTGGGTCCAGGTGGGCGGGGCTTGGTGACTGCTTTGTTGTGACATCACAAAGTTCCAGAAGTCCTGACGGCTGGTTTTAAGGCTCAGTTTCTGAATACAGGCTGTGTGCATTTCTCTGTGGACTGAGGCTTTGATACTTTCACAGTATTAATATAGAAGCTAGAGCTGATCTATAATCACACTACACATGGACACAGACCTTTACACTGGAGGAGCTTTAAAGGTTTAAACTGCTTTAGTTTATTTCCTCTTTAGATCAGAAACTGTTCAAACATTTAACTTGATCAGAAAATATTAATGAAGTCAGATTTAGTTGTAGTTTCCTGTAAATGAACGTTAGAGTCGCGGCAGCGTTCAGTCCTGTGGTTTCACTCCCCACCTTTTTGTTGATATTTGCATTTTTATGGGGGTGAGTGGAAACTAAAGAGGTATTGACCTGTGTAAACTCTGCAGTACAGCCCTGGTGTTAACAGTGTGTATCTGCTCCAGTGCGTCCAGGTTAGGGTTGGTCAGTCAAAGCTACACCTCCTCCTCCTCCTCCTCCTCCTCCTCCTCCCATCACAGCCAACATGTGATGAGCAGCAGGAGTCCATCACTTCTCCTGCTTTAATACAAACTCACACTGATTTGATCGCAGCTCTTGAACACTACCTGCTACCTGATCACAAACTCATCTGACAAATGATTCATTGAAAGAGAGTCGGTGCAGAGAGCGTCAGGAAGTCGCTCTCTCGCCTTCCTTGTTACACGCTGGACAAATGACAAACACCATGAGGTCATGGTTAGAGGAGCTCTGCTGTCAGGAAGGAAGACGCACAAATACAAGAAAATCAATATGTTTAGTGCATTTAGGGTCACGTCATAATATCGAGATCTATTTAATGTCAGAGTGACGCAGTAAATTAAACTGAAGGCAGAAAAAAAAAGTGTGTAATTGGCTGCAGTGAAGATTGTAGCTGCACTACATCACGTCAAACACATACAGCTCCTCTCAGAGCACATCTCCTCACTCAGTGGTGTGTTCAGGGTCTCTGCTGCTCAGATTATTACACCACACTGCCCCCTGTGGGCGCCACAGTGTAACACCAGCCAGAGGCTCAAACACTGATGCTGTGAAGCAGCGTCTGTGCAAAGACACTGCTGTTTTCTTCAAGTCAAAACCTGTCAACAAAACCAGGAGGTTATTTTTTAGTTTCTGCCTTTAATGATTAAATCAGAACATCAGCATTTCCTCTGGGGATTTAAGATTCTTTTAGGTTTTCATGTAGAAAAACTCATAAAACTGTTCAATAAATACATTTTTATTCATTTGATTTATTTTAATATTTTTGATTACAGCGGTAAAATAAAGCCAAATATTTTCTTCTTCCTCACAACTTCTTAAAACTTTCATATCAGTGAAAGATGAAAGTGTTTGTGGGTTTTGACTGAACAGATTTAATTCATCAGTTTGTACGGAGGACGAGGGACGTCACAGGGAAAGTAATAAACTTCCTGAATTTCATATTTTAATAGACATTAAAAACAGGAATTGTAGAAACAATTTATAAATGAACAATTAATCCATCAATAAAAACTTCAGATTTAAAAATGGATTTACAAAACGTTGAATAATAAACTATTTATAAAAAGATTTATTAATCATGAATAAATAATAGAATTTGAAAAAGCATTTTAAAAAAGGGAAAGCTCCCTCTTCAATTCCCATTTCCTGTTTCCAGCTGCTTTTCCTTTTCCTCTTAGCTAATCAAGTAGCTTAGTCAGTTAGCGTAGCGTAGCTGGTAAAACAACCCCAATTGGCGATGGGACGTAACAAGCTCTCCGATTGGTCGGAGAGTTAAGCAGGCGGGTTTTACCAGCACTGAAGGCCCAGGCGCTCACAGACAGGCTAACAGGAGAAGCTAACTGTAACCTGAGGTTCAAACCCGCACTACGTCATCAGCTGCTCGTCTTTATATCTCGGCGCCTCAGGCAGGATTTTCTTTCCCTTCAGTGGTTTTGTTTCTCCTCAGTGTTTGCTCATGTCTCTGGATCTTCCTCTATGATTTTGGAAGCTCTGAGCATTTTTTTTCCAGCCTCTTAAATTTATTTGCATTTTCCCTGCCATGCCTTCCTGCAACCAGGAGATTGAGGAGGTAGGACCTGCCCCGTCTGTCTGTCTGTCTGTCTGTCTGTCTGTCTGTCTGTCTGTCTGTCTGTCTGTCTGTCTGTCCACCTGCCTACCTGACTGCTTGCTTCACACCTTTCATTTGCCTCATTTTACCATTTCGTTCTCATGTTTAGCAGCATTTAGTTGATTATCATCATGTTCGTTTTTAATGTGGTTGCGTTCAAGCTGCCAAACCGTCCACAGTCACATGAACTAGTTTGTCAGTGCAGATCAGATTTGCAAATTTACACTTTGGAATAAATTCCCGAGAGTCGGTGAATTAAAAAAACAAAATCTCCTCACATCAAGAAATGAACCTGAAGCTTAAAATCAAACGGAATAACAGACAAACCCCTTCATGTGACGTCTTAGATCAAGTGTTTATCTTCATCTGCATGGCTCATGTAGCTTAGTGCTTTGTTCTTTTGTTTCTTCATATAATGAGCTAATGAATCTAATTAAATTCCATCATTATTTCAGCCTGATAAAGACTCATGTAACCAGGCGGTTGTTGTGTTAGTTCAGTAAATATCAATAACGTCAATTAATAAGCTTGATCTAAACTACAGGTATCTCCACTGTTCAGAGTCCTGAGCTCACAGTCAGAAGTCGTGACACAATTCAAACCAAACACCAAACTGTAGCGCACAATTCACTCTCAATTATCAACTAATTATTCTAAAGATTTTGTAAATTTACAAACTTCAACATTACAGCTGAAAGCTCAATGTTCACGATCAGTTTATATTATTAAATATTTAGTCAGTGAGGATTTGATGGAAGTGGGTGATTCACATTCCTCCTCTCTGCTTCTCATTCACTCACTGGTTCATCATTTTCTTTAAAGCTCCTAAATATCAATGTCAGGAAATCCAGTATCGGAAATCACTAAAGGAAAAACAATATATACAGCTTCATCAAAAATATCCCAATATCCAAACATGGCTCCTCGTCTGAGAGGAGGCAAAATTAAACACACATTAAAAATACTGTCTTCCTGTGTGTGTGTGTGTGTGTGTGTGTGTGTGTGTGTGTGTGTGTGTGTGTGTGTGTGTGTGTGTGTGTGTGTGTGTGTGTGTGTTTCAGCTGGAGGGGAAAGTCCAGCAGGGAGAGAGAGACTTTGAACAAATCTCCAAAACCATCCGTAAAGAAGTCAGCAGGTTTGAGGTGAGGAAGACGACGATGATGAAGATGATGAATGAGTGAATACGCTTTAAAATGAATGATCTGATGAGTGAAGTGGTAAATGACGGGATGAGAGGGATGGATGAATGACTGTTCACCTGGAACTGGATTTTCATATATTCATTAGAAAACTGTTTCTTTGATTTTCCAACAGAAAGAACGAGTGAAGGACTTTAAAACAATCATCATCAAATACCTGGAGTCACTGGTTCAGACACAACAGCAGGTAAATGACACGAAGACAACATTATCATTATTATTATTATTATTATTATTATTATTATTATTATTATTAGTTCAATCAAAATCATGTTTTGTATATGTATAATTTGGCATCTTTATATATAATTATACATAATTTTGTGTAATATTTGTTTTTTTTAATTATTATTTTTAATTTAATTTAATGGAATTGTTTGGCTGCCAAAATTAAAATAAAATCTTAATGAAATTGAAACAAAATAAACTGAAATAAAAGATTAAAATCTAATGAGAAATTTCCATAACGGCAGTTAAACCTTTGTCAGTCATAATGAAAATAATTATTAATAATTATTCATTTTCAGAGGAAATTAGCTAAAATTATGACATAATTAATAAATAAATATTTTTTTATGAGTGAACCACGTCAGATGAATTTCTATTGGCTCACAGACAATAAAGTTATTCTAATTCTGAATTTAGATTTAAATGCTGAAGTAATTTTTTGTTCAATTTGATTTTTATTTTGGCATTGCTGTTATTTTATGATAAAAACATTTGTCAATGGATTTTTAAATTTTAATTTTTGCAGTAATTATACATTTTAAAACATGAAAATTTTAATTTTATTTTATAATTGAACAGTTTTAAATTCAGCATGGAATACAAAATATACTTTTTTTTTCATATAAGATTTTAAACAATTCTAATTCTACATGCAAATACAACCAGAATACATTTGTGGCACATTAATGTTAATTTTCTTTTTCTCCTGCAGCTGATAAAGTACTGGGAGGCCTTCTTACCTGAGGCGAAGGCCATCTCATAGAGCCCACACACACACAACAGACAGTCCTGACTGGCTCCGGTCAAACTACACTACCCATAATGCACCTGTCCTCCTGGGTCTCCCTCCTCCTGTTTGTGCCCAGAGTGAAGAAGAGAAGTGAGGCAGCGAACCAGCTCCAAGTGACATTTCTGCAGTTAAAAAACAAAACAAAAAACAAACTCTTTCAATTTTACAGTTCACCTTCTTTTATCCCTCTTTTTCTTTCTGCTGAACTGTGCTGCGTTCAAGTCCCGTCAGAGTAATCGTTGTCAGGAACGACTCAGACTGATGCATTCACAGTAATAACAATAACAAAAATATCTCACTCACACTGTTTCCGTCACGGTGATGTCAGAACTCAGTAAGTCTGAGAAAGAGCTCAAATTTTCATGATCTGGAACCTGCAGTTTGAACGCAGCACGGGATCTGACCCCGGTGACGGCTTTCCTCTCCACACAAACAGAATCTAATGTGGTGTCATGTTTTACAGTCGGAGCACTTTGTTCATTCACCTGATCCCCAGACATGAAGAGGGGGGGTGGGGGGGGGAGGGGGGAGGGGGGGTCTCGCTCTGTACATTTAATATTTGACGTCTTTTTTTAAGACTCTCTCAACAAAGACAGACACACTCTAACGTAAAGATCTTTTTCCCCCATCAGTTCTCTGGATGTATGGAAGCTCATTCCCGCCAATTAAAAAGAAAAAGACGAAGAATATAAATTGTCAAAATGAATTAAAACATTTTCTTCTTCTTTTTTTCCACAAATCTTTTCCACTAAAACATCATTTTTGAACCTTGAGGTTTGACTGAGAAGTGTGTGCAGCACTTTTCCGTAAATCTGCAGTTCCCACATAATTAAAAATTCAAACTTAAGCTTCACTTACTAGCTTTTTTCCCTGTTTTTGACTGAATCCAACTGCCTTCTTCAGCGAATAAAACTCAGGTGTTTCATGAAGCTAAGTGACGTGACCACAGGCGGTCGTATATGTAGGGAGACTTTTAGAAAGGTCGCGATTACACCTGCAGTTTTACTGATGAAGTTTGTGGGATATGGTCAAAAACTCTGAAAAAGTGAATAAGTGCAACCTTTGATTTAGAATATTTTAGTATCAATATGGGAAACATTATTATAAATCCCCCTTTTCAGCATTTGTAGGCAGATTATTAACGACTAATAAATGGTTTATAACGCACTGTAACATTGTTGTAAGCAGATCTAAGTGATAAAATACTGAATGATAATTTAGTCAAACTCATTATATCTGCTTCGAACTACATTATAGTGTGTTATAAACTATTTATTAAATGTTTGTAAGCTTATAAAAAAAAAACTTCTCATTTCTTCTGGTTTTCCTGGCGTGAATGGCTTCCATACTTTGTCCTTAAATACTACATTACCCATGAGCATCGGCGGCAGCTGCTCTGGAGATGTTTAAAGTCAAATCAGAAAAACCCAAAAGTGAACTGATTGTAAATTAGATGACTTCAGCTGCACGGCAACAGAGTCTGTAGCTCTCTGACTGGATGTTTTTTTTTGCAGCAGTGCTCTCTGGGAATTGTAGTTGACTTCTCTCCTAACAGTCTTGTACATTTGACTTTTTTTTTTTTTCACCTCAGTGTTTGAAACCAAGAATGTGAAAATGAACTTTTACTACAGGAACCCTGAACGCCACGTGTCTGCTTCATCAGCTGTTTAATATAATAATAACCCAAAAACCATATCCAGCACTACCAGTTGTTTTCACTGGGGAATGTAACAGTGCTAACAGCTGTTCTCGTAACCACGGCAACTTCTCTCCACTAAAACAAACCTCTACATCGGAGAATCTGTGCTTTTACTTTAGAGTTTGGAAGCTGTGAAACTGACCTGGAGTCAGTGATGAAGGACGACTGACTGACTGACTGACTGACTGACTGACTGCATCCTCTCTTATCATGTCTTGTACTTCCTGTCACCTGTTCGGTCCTCTCGCTTCCCCCCTCGTTCCTTTCAAAACAAGAGTCCTCGGTTGTTTTTGTTGCTGTATGATCGTGAGTGAAGGCAACATTTTCTCTTTTCGTTTCTGCTCCTCTTTGAGTCGACGAGAGCAGACGAGGAAGAAACTCACTCTGTGGTTCAGTTCAACGCTGCTGACTGATGAACATTCACACACCTAGACAAACCTGTTTTACCTGAAGAAGCTTGATTAATACCCACAGTTAATTACGTATCTTGGGATGGTTAATTTCCCTGGATGCACTGCCCCCATTTTCACTTTCTTTCATCTGTATTCTGGGTGATTCCAAAGAAAAAAAACCAATATTTTAACTCTTGTTAAAACAGCCTGTAGTTCGAACCTGTGTCACGTTGCTTAAATGCAGTTGAAACAACACGAACGTCTCTGCCTTTAAGCTCTTTTGACCTGTTTATCACCAAATGAGCGCTTAACAGCAAATAGTGAATGCCATTAACTGTCTCTCCAACCCAGTTAACAAATCAAAACCATCATATTGGTGTTTACAAGTCCAACAGTCAATCAGGAAGCTCAGATAATAAAATAAAGTTTAGGGCTTTGAAGATTTTCCTCGCCAAGTTTCTCTTATATCATCATAACCTACTGAATGAGGCTTAATTAATAAACATGATAATAACTGACTTTTTACCTGCTGTAAATATCTTTCCACAGTCAGTCAGTGAGTGCATGTTTAGGAAGAGAAGCATCGCATGTTGTTTGTGGAGTCAGTGTGAACCTGTTAAACCGGACCAGCGTTTCACTGAGCTGAGAGTCAGAGCTATAAAACAGTTCAGTGATGCTGGAGTCACTACAGGTGGATGTTGACCTCCATGAACGAACATTTCCTCATGATGTTAATACAAATGATGTTCTCTCTAAAATATACTATAAATTGGTTGCATATAAATATAATTTCCAGGAGACAGAGTTGCTCACTGACGACTTTGTGCTGGAAGAATCGAACCAAAACTAAAAAGGGGTAAAAAAGTTAAATGATCTCTTTCATAAAAAAACAAAGAAACAGATTGACTGAGCAGCAGCTCAGAACTGAAAACCTGCAGAGTGAACTGAACCTCGTGGGTTTGTTCCTAACGCTCAGGTTGGCCCCAAAGAGGAGACTTTAACAGGAGGTGAAGAAATGAAACGACGTGCTAGCGCCGTTAGCGTTTTCAGTTTTGGCAGCTTGCGACGCTGATGAGTTGTTTTCACTGCAGATGAAGGATTTTATTTTGAAGGAGACTGAAGTGAAGCTAAAGAAGAGTAGTGTTAGGTTTGGTGGAAGTGTGTGTGTGTGTGTGCGTGTGTGTGTGTGCACGTGTGTGTGCGTGTGTGTGTGTCCGTCCAGAGAGCAGCTGCAGACTGTGAGGATTATCTTTACCGGCTGTTTCTCTCCCGTTGATCCGTGTGAGGGCTGTAAATTCTACAGAATCTTTACTTGATTTTATTTTAGTTGAATTCAAAGCTGATTTAATCATCAGAATAAAATCCAACAACCTGAATCGAACAGAAGCTACAAATCTGACATTTTTCATCTCATATTAAAATTGATTAAAACTGGAAGTTTGGATTTAATTTTTATTATTTTTTGTGCTCAGCCCTCATCCCCACTGCTCCTCAATCTTAAATCATATAACACTGTGTCGATTGCTACCTTTTTGTATTTTATTCCATGTTTTATTCCTCATTATTTGCCGCCTAATGGTGTGCGATGTTTGGGAGTTTTCAGTTGATTGTTTTTTTTTTTACTTTCACAAATGATGAAACGCTTTAACTGAGCAGATTTTTTTAAAGCTCTTTTGGTTTGGCGTGACATTCCGCGGCAGAGCAGATGTTTGAGTACTTTAATTATAATAAAGGAATGTATCTCATCCATGGTTGAAGTGGCTTTTAATTATTCAAGGTTGTAAATCGCTTTGACTCGTTCTCTGTTGAAAACTGAAGCTGTGGATCACTGGCGGCTTTTAAACCACCATTTAAAAAGTCAGCTTTTTAAACCTTACTTTTACCTGGAGTTTATTAACATTGTTATTATTAATATTGCCCCAATTACATTTTATCATGTGTGCTTCTGCTCTATTATTATTATTATTATTATTATTATTATGGTCACTGTTGGTCATATGAGATCGTTTTGTTGAGGACCTAATGAGGAGGTTCAGATGTGGGTCTAAGTTCACGTTCCCTATGTGACTTTAGGGAGACGTTCCGTTTTGGTTATTTTCACTGCAACGTTGCAAAGAGGACGTTAAGAGAACGTTCCCATATGGTTCCCTGTCAGTCACCTGAGGACGTTTCATTGGGCACTGCATCTAAGTTGGATTGTAGGGCATTCCTTATGTGACTTTTCTTTCTCTTATGGTCATGTGGCATCACAAAAGACCAGTTTGTCACATTACAATACTGTATTAGCATAGAGAATACGTTACGTCTGTTGCCATTTCATTACACTACAGGAACATATAACAGAAACGCAGCAGAAAAACATTATCATTACAGAGCAGCAGCTACGAAGACCCACGTGCATCACCGGTGGAAACAGAGGAAGGCCTGCTCAGTTTAAGGTATGTCAGGGTGTCTGTTGATTGGGTCAGGATTCTTAATAGGACTAGTTGTTAAATATCCCTAAAATATTTAACAACTAGTCCTAGTCAAGGGAGTGTGGACTACTTCATGAAGGTGAAAGGGTTGGGGTGGGACATATATCAGCTGATCAATTCAGGCTGAAAGAGTTGGGGTATGATCCTACAATACCTTTTACCGCCAGTCAGTTCATTTATTGATTTATTTGTTATGTTATTTTTGGTTCCCGCTTGGTTTATTGGTTTTGGGGCGGAACTACTTGAAGTGCGCTCTACTTCCTGTGGGACGCATTTGAGTGGCACGCAATATCAATGAGATGATGCAGTGGGTAAAGGTTTATCTTTAAATAAGATATTGCTGGTTTAAAGAGTTGATTGTTTAACTGTGGGAAAGGAAGTTTTCACACGTGAGGATCTTGTGGAGAGTTAGTTCCTCTGGTGATGAGCAGCCACCGAGATACGTAACCGGAAACGTTCGTTTGTTTACGTGATGTTACCGAGTTCAGCGCTAGCTTAGCCAGCTAGCTTGATTTTGGTTATCGATATGTGACAGCATCGTAAGCACGAGTTTAAACTGTGTTGTTTTTATCACCAGTTTTCACGTCGGTGCAATAAACAAACAACCTGTTTCTGAGCGTGAGTTTTTCGCGCCTCCTGTGTCACCGGAGGAGGGACGGAGAAAACCGAGACGACTTTCGGGATTGGCAGTCAGACCTGTCACAGCGCATCGTCCATAGCTACGGGACAGCGCGACTCAACCAACCACGGAGCTACAGCGCGAGCCCACAGGAAGTTCCAGGTGCCATCAGGTTGAATTTAGCTGCAGATGAGAGACTTATTGAAAGAGCACAACAAAGGACGACAAAGGATTTACACTGCACACTGTTATTACCCTTATTTCTTGGTCGGAGTTTTCAATAATCACCACTGACAACTTTATCTCTTAGCAGT